TTTCAAAATACTAGCAAATGAGTTAGATGCCAGAGATCACATAGGCAAAAATGCATTATGTAGAGAAGGGAGACAAATAAATGGGAAAGCCCTTAACCACTACAATGAGAATGCCTCTGTTCCTGTTACTTTTACTGGCATGCTTTGGGTCCACTTGTCTTTTTAGAGGAAGGGATCACTATAAAACAATTGAAATTCATTTTGAGTGACCACCTTCTCCTAAGATGAAACATTTTTATCCTTATGATAGTGATCACCTCCAGGATGGCACTGCCCCCATCCATAAGGCAGCGAGGGGTCGTTACTTGTTTGAAGATTATGTAAAGCTAATGCAGTGGCTTCTAGATATAAACTAGTCTAAACATGTATGGAAGATTTTGGACCAGCGTTTAGACTGTGTTCTCCACCTTCATTGTTGTGATGGCAACTGTGTAATCACTGTTTGTTAATGTGTGGATAATAAATCCACGTCCTTGAAGCTGGTGGGGAAAATCAGCAGACTACTTCAGCAGCGTAATCAGTTGACTCCAAAAGAGGAAATATCTCTAAGAAGAGTTGTTCCTTTCCTTCAGTGGAGATCCAGAGACTTACAGAGTCAATGTCAGGCAAGCTTTTCTGGTAATTGCCCAACATCTAATCAAGACACTTAGTGGTGTTTTTATTTAATTTGTCGTATTTTCTGTATGTGTATTTCCAGTTTAGTTTATCAGAACTACAGTTTAAAATGGTTTAAATCCGAGTTGTTTAAAAACAAATACAAAGATATTGAGTTATGCATTTTTAGCTGCCTGCTAAGTGTTGAGTGAAGGACACTTTGCAAGCTTATTACGTCAGCAGCGTGATGTCGACTTTTGTTGCTCAAAACTAAGTGAAAGTTAATGTATATTTGTGTGACCTGAGACTGAGAAGCAAGACTTGCAACATTTATTTACTTATTTTAATACATTGATCATGAATAACATGAAGAATTAACTGTGTTTTTGCTCACTTTACAGGAGAAAAGACTTACCTCCACTATGTAATCTTGTGTCTGTGTTCAATTGAAATCAGTGGTTTTTATTTTTTACAGTGATACCTTTCAGCCATTCTTTTTTACAGGAAGACTCCAAAAGTAGACTTATCTGTAAAGTGGAAATCATCCGTTTTAAATAAAGTGAAAAACATATTAGCTTACATTATAAGCATGAGAGATGCTCATGTGAGCTTGTGGTCCACTACCACCCTTACATGATTTGGGTTTTTCCAACAATTCCATTAAGATGGCAAACATTCAGATGAAAGTCAAATACTGATGTTAACAAGTTACACAAGGGATGTGTGAATGCGAGAGCTGTAGTTTCTGGCAGTCTGCCCTTCCTCCTCAATCCAGTCTTAGCCAAGCTGACCTCCAACACATTCAACCTGTGAGGGCCCGGAGAGGGCGTGTTCACACTTGCATGAGTGATGTGTGCCTCTGAGCGAATGAACCTGGTAGTGAGGTTATCATCCAAGCGTCTGCTCAACTGGAGTCAGACTTGAGGCTCACTGGCCAGAAATGAAACAGGTCAACTGGAACACACAGACACACACAAACAGGGAGAGAGAGACGTATTGCATACTGACCTTTACTTATCTATTCTTTTTCTACATTTTACAAGCGGCAACTTTATTTTCAAAGCACATTTCAGACAATAATATATAATAATATATATTTATCACACACACACACACAGATTTATGTATACATACATGCCGCCTTTGTGCTGCGAGTTCTTCATACTCCTGAAGCATCTCCGGTCATAAGCTCTCTCTTAGTCAAAAATATACTTTTAGACTGGTTTGATAAACTCCCGACACTAAAAGGGTGCATACATTCGTGTTCTGTTGGCATTACTAAGTACCAGCCGCTACCAGTTTGGGCCATCTGTTGATTTCAGAAGGAGCCGTCATTGTATTCTGCTCAAAAATTGGAAACAAGAAAACTTTGCAGCTTTTACTCACAAATAACTGGGGAAAAAAACAAATGAATCATTTTCAGTTTCTTTCTGTTAAAACTTTTTAGATCTTCACTGGTGCTTAATGCCTCCAAGAATTAGTCATATGCAGTCTTGTGCACACAAATGCTTTTGACTTTTCTGCTCTTACATGACATCAACTAAACTTGCAAAGCAAATATAGTTTCCATTGGCAGTGCAGGTGGTTACTGAGTTTTTGCCACTTCAGTTTTTCCCATACTAGAGATGCTCAGCTGGCTTTGCAAGATTACCCACTTGAAGTCTTTGACATGTTTCTGATCATTTCTGAACTTTTTCTTTTTTTTGCTCTTGTTGCATTATTAACTTGCTAAACGAGGCTTTATTCCGTGAAGTGGTTGAAATGAATGCTAAGTTAGGTGGTGCAGGTCAAAGTTTCACCTGCATGAATGCACGCAACACTTCTCCAAGGAGAGAAGAGCCAGAGCCTTATAAAGGTGCCATTAAAAGATGATAATCAATGATACTGAGTTCATCTGTTTTGGCTGAGAGACATAAAATAATCTACAGTAAGATTCTGGTGCTAATTTGAAATTCTTTAATAATATGGTAATCAAACATCCACGATGTGATTCCACCTGGAACGGTAGCACTCCGTGCCGTCCACTCACTTAGTTTTTTTGTTACATCTCTCCAGTAAACACAGAAAAATTAAAGCAGGTTTGAAAAAGGTTGGTGCCTTTTTTAGTTTTCCACCAAAAAGAAAGGTGAAAAAAAGAGGAACAGACCGCGTTCTCTATCTGGCATCTTAATGTGCGAATGAACATGGCTCAGATTAAATCTTTCTTGTGATGTCTTTGGCTGATAAAAGTGATTCTAGTTACGACGTGTCACTGTGAAATACAAAATAGGATGTACTTGGGTTTACTTTCTGTGGGAAGAATATAGTCTAGGAGAGTAAGAGTCGATATATCCATAATCACAGCTGTGATGTTATACCAAGTAATTGGTTAGCTCACTGTGATGTTATACACCCAATAAAAAACAAGTGGAAGCCATGCCAAGTCCTCTACCTGTGAAGAGAGTGGCTGAATCAGTGGCAGTGATCTGTTTGCATCAAGATGACAGACACTTCAGTGTGAGAGCAGAGCCAGACAGACACTCTCTGTAATTTGGATGATGCTTCTCAGTATGGGGTGCCAGAACAAGCGGGAATCTCCATAAATGCTTGCTCACATTGCAGCCAGAGGTGTCCCAATTATTTATTTTCCCTCACAAGACAGCTGTTATCTAATCAGTAAGAAAAGCAAAATGTTGCATAGAGTGTCAGATTTTTAATTTACAATCTGGACCACCAGGTTATTGGGTGCAGAATCAGATCTGTGGCTGGCAATAGCTTAAAGGACAAGACATGATCTGACTCATTGAAATTTTACATCCTCCTCAGCACCAATTACATTCTACACACATAACCGAAAGGTGTTAAAAATCTGATGTTAAAATGTTGGCGTGAAAGTGAAGGTGATTCATTTCTTTCATTTAAGCTTCATTGTTTTTGATTTTGTGTTGTTGCTGAATGTGGATTATACTCTTAAAGGCACTGAAAGAGCAAAAACATGTTGCAATTTTCCAGCTGGATAGGACTATGATGTATACCAAATCCTAGAAGAAGAAAGCAACCAACCTGAAAAGAGGTTACCTTTTTTGAATGTTATCAGTAACATACATTCCACCAGAAGGTGACTTACTGCTAAGTTGCTGTGAACACATTCGGTGGTGGCTGTTGAAAAGTGTTTCTAGGTTTAAGTGCCAACAGAAGCAGACAGTAAGAGTTAGAAGAGATAGTCAACTGGATCAATGGAAGTTGACATTGAACTGTAACAGTTCAAAGTTTGCAATACATGCAATACATTATTTGGGCTCTATTGTATGGAAGGCTGTTTCCGCCACTAAAAAAAAAAAAAAAAAGTATCCATAACATGAAATTTGAACTTATTAACTCAAAATTTCAAGAAAAGTACCTTGAAATTTTGACTTACTTTTCTCAAAATTTCGAGTTACTTTTCTCGAAATTTCGAGTTAGCTCTGCCAATCAGTAATCTACATGAATGACGTCATTTCCTTGTTACCCGGAAGCTGAAGCCCTCAGCTACAAATGCTACAGCTAAGCTACCAGTATTACAGCCATGAATGCACAAATTGCACAAATTGCTGAGTATTTTCAGCGTGGCTTCACAAATGATGAAATCTTTGTGTTATTAGCTGAATCACATGGTGTTACTATCAGCCAACGTACTCTCGAAAGCGCCAATTTGTTGTGATCCAGTTTTAAATGCACATTCATCTGCACCATATCCTTCTGGGTAACAAGAAAATGATATCATTCACATAGATTACTGACTAGCAGAGCTAACTCGAAATTTCGAGAAAGAGAACTCGAAATTTCGAGTTATGGATACTTTTTTTTTTAGTGGCAGAAATGGGCTTCCATACTATTTAGCTGAGTTTGCTAGCTTACAATAACATTTGGAAACCAAATTTTTCACATAGGTTTTCACATAACCATTAGATGGCTACATTATCTGTGCCACTCTGTGTTCATCAGTGATTATAAGTAGATAATAATAGCCCCTTAAGCTGCTCAAACGTAGAGGAGGTGCCTATTAGCAATATGCATGGGACTGATACAAAGTGACAAGTCATTAAGTGAGCTTTTTTTTCACGTTCCAAATCTGTAATCTCTCATTTAAAATTCATTTGACAAGAGAACTTTGACAGGAAAACATGAAGTAAAGAAAAACCCAATCATAATCTGACAGAAGAATTACTAAGTAAAAGGTGTAGCACACATGTAAGCCTTATGACTGGCACAGTAGAAAGCCTAACTGGCCCACTACTGTTTCAGTTCTATTTTGGGGTTTTTTAATTGAGAAAATTATCCACCTATGCTTAGTACGGATGCTGGTGTCATGTCTGAATGCGGGAATGGCAAGAAAAAAGAAAGTGGAGCTAACTTACTAAACCATTTGTTTGGCTGTGTTTCCACAGATGACTGCAGAAGCAATTCTCCGACTGGTCAATGATCCCGTGCTGCCATTTTACCCTCTAGACATCGCCCTGGATGTTCAAAACAAGCTCAAAGGTAACACTGATGATCATGTGTTTTCAACTGCGGTGATGATAAAATACAGTCTAGTGGTATGTGCATGGAGATAATGATGAGGCTAGATGTACTATATACTGACTGACTTCCACTAAAAAGCACACAAACAAAGGTAGCAAAAAAGTGTGGCACATTTTGAAGATGAAGAGTTTCGTATTTCTTTCAGTTGTTATGGAGAACAAAACAGTCAAAGAAGAAAAGTGGGCATAAGCAAGATAATATCATAATATGACTTTATATTTGTCTGCTGGATGAGTAAAAAGATTTGCTTCTTCATATCCACATATAGTAGTGTGCAAAGGAAAAAGGAAAAATAACAATAAAAAGTTTTTAGTTGTGGTTTTTATTTTAAAAAGAGACTAATTATTTGGCATAAGATGATCATTCAGATTGAAAACAAGTAGCAGTTATGCCTGAGTATCTACCGCTTTAGACAGACATAACAATGAGTTAGGAATAATAAGAATCTGAGTTCAATAACTGTATTTCTTTGTTCTGAATCCAAGGTAGCTAATATTTAAGCAAAGGGCTCTGTAGTCTGCTTTTCAGCTCTTTATGTCAAAATTGTGCAGTTGCTGTCTGTGTGTTTAGCTAACAAGCCAAAGACCAGTTCATACAATGTGTTGAGACCCACAGGCCTGCAGCGGTGCAGCTGTAAAAGATAGCCTACTTAAAGCATTTTGTTTTATGTATCTGTGGGAGTGTTCATGTTGGTTGTTGGGGAGTGTAAATTAGGAAATGATGCATAAGGTGGCTGGTCTGTGGAAATGAGTTATGCATCTGCACAGAAGTCCATGACAGCAGCTACTACACACACACACACACACACACCGCAGAGCTTTCTGTAGTTTCACACAGTGCAGGCTAAAATATCACCATTCAAACTGCAAAACTGCAGAACCCCTTTGTCAGGATGCTCATTGAAATAATGCATTAAGTAACTTTTGTCCAAATTTTGACCAGGACAGACTAAGAGTCAGATTCACTAAGTGGCAGACTTACCTGAGACCACAATCTCAAAAATGCACTGATGAGAGTGGACAGTTCTGTGGGTGATCTACTAACAATGCATTAAATTCTAACACAGCCAGCCAGTAAAGAGTAGCAAAAATTTGCTACCAGACCCAAAGAATGAGCGAGTAATGTACCTACCAAAATAATACCGCGTAAGCACAGGTTTTAGTGTTTCTCCGCTGAGGAGAGTCCATGTGTTTTTGGTATAAGGGTAAAATTTGCAGGGGACTTTATAGGTAGGCATTATAGGTTTCTCTGGATAAATGTGATAAACCTGAAATAAGTGTGTAACATTTGAGCTGCATGATGTGCAGACAAACTTGAAACATTATTTAGAATGAGTTACCCTTACTCTGCCGTGGATGTAAATCCATGCATTGCTTTTGTTTTCCTCTATGAGGCAGCATGTATTTATGAAAGTCGATATTATATATCGATTTAACACATCATGAATTTCTGCAAGTTGACAGACATTTCAGTGTTATATATATCCAAGGTTAAAAAAAAGCTGCATGTGCATTTAAAACATTGGACTCAGTAAAGAGTTACATGACAGATCCAAAGCTTTGGCAACGCTCTCTGAGCACCGAGCCATCCACCCACATCAGTTACATGCTTTTCCTGACAACATCCTCCCCTGGCATTTCAAATAAATCCACAGTCCTAGCAGCAACTATCACAGTCACTTCAGGCGCAAAAAAAGACATGCTTTTTACTGCACTGACTTCAATGCAATTTGCAACAAATTGCCTGCAGCCTGTAGGTTTCATTTAAATATGCTCTTCCCAAAAGTTTTGAGCTATCAAAGGGAAACTCCTAGAAAGACACAATAAGGATACAAAAACTCTGTCCACACCTTTCTATAGCTTTTTAAATACATAATACAAATTTGGCCCCATATTGCAACCATTGAAGAAGATATTAACAGTGATGTGGCTGCCAGAGAACATATGTGTTAATATATTTCAGTGACCAATTACTTAATTACTGTGACTCTCAAAAAGATTTTCATATTTTTTAAAAGGAAAAAAAATCTACAAAGTTCACTTAAACCCCATTTGGAAAAAAGGATATCATAAGGATGCACAACAATTTCAACATGCAACAAAAGAGTTGCAGAATGTTTCTCCATGCAGGCACATACACATGGACATGCAGAATAATGAAGCACTGTTTCAGCTGATTAAACCAAAGTCTTTCTCTCATGATTACACAACATACTGACTTTGATTATTTTAATTTGTAAATCCAGTAAAGTGTCAAATGTAATCCCTCTCAGACTTTTACATCAGCCCTGAGAAAACTAAGTCTTCTTGAGTTGTCCTTTTGTTGTAACTCCCATAGCTTTTTCTGCACCCTCTCATTCTTCTGTTCTTACTGTTCTTGGTTCTCCTCTTTCAGCACAGT